GGACGAGGGGGGTACGGGCATTTATACGGGTTACGTATTGGTTAGTGTATCGGTCTTTTTTGACGGGGAGGATGAGAGCGTGGGGTTTGGCCGAAGAGACGCGGAGAACCGGGAGGAGACAGGTGAAGATTAGGAGACAAAGAGAGATTAATGATGATGAAGCCATGGCTGTGAACTGGAATTTGTGCTGTGAGAATGAAGGGGAGCGCTCTTTTATAGTGCCCTGGTTACGCAAGAGGTTGATTATTTTAGAGACCCGTTGGTATTTGACTAAGGACAAATTTTTAAAACAGTCCCCTTTGGATTTTTAATCCCCAAAAAATCTATTTCTAGCTTATTTTTAGAAAACAACATGGTTTCAGTCGAAACCGATCTAGTTTTAGCTTTAGCGTTGAAACCATGTCGATTTCTGGAAAAAAAAATTTGAAACTTCACGGGAGTTGAACTCCCGTAAACTTTAGTAGCTTACTAAACTTCACGAGAGTTCAACTCCTGTGAAGTTTCATAGTTCAATTTTTTTTGAGCTATAAAACTTCACGGGAGTCGAACTCCCGTGAAGTTTCGAATTTTTTTTAGAAACCGACCTAGTTACAGCGCAGATGCTGAAACCAGGTCGGTTTCTGAAAATAAGTTGGAAATGAGTCTTTTTTTTACGATTATTATTATAAACGTGATTGTTTTTGAAAATTTATCCATTTGACTAACGATGGTCCTGCATGCAACTATTTTATTTTCATTGGTTTTGAATGCTTGATAATTTTAGGAGCACATGGTGTACGTCTTTAAATGAAGTATATGGTTTACTTTGCTGGTTTTTATAGAGATTCCGCGAGCAGTCGCTCGAGAAGACGTACAAATTAATTGACTATTCCCCAGTGAAGGATCTTCTTCTTGCTCCATTATTTTACTCCACGGAGCGAGAAGACTCGGATTAATGAAGACGGTGGGCTGAGGGCACAATTTTACGATTATTATTGGATTTGCATTTAGAATTATTTTGTAGTTTTACCAATTTTTAATCTTTATTGCAAAAAGTATTCTGTAGGACAGTTAAAAAAAGAAAGAGTAATAGAGTGCAAGGTCATGCTGTTAAATATGAAAACAGGCAAGATAGGATGCACTTTTTGTCTTTAAAAAAAGAAGGAAGAAAGGTTTATTTGCTGAAAACCGTAGGAATGAATCATATTCTTTTATAACTCTCTTGACTCGTAGCCATTTCAAATATGTGAAACCCCCAATTCTGCCATAAACGACAGTACGATATGATCCATGTTCACTACGTGTTTAAAGCCTGTCTGTTTACTTGTACTAGGTTTCTCCTAATCTCTCCCTGTTCTTGCTGCTACATATGTCATTTGTCAAGAGGTACATCATATAGAGCAATAGCATGATTAGTTGCACACCGATGAAACTTCTCAATCACTCTGATTTCTGTCTAGGTCCTGTCCATGAATTTCCTTTAATTGCAGGGTTTGTGCATTCCTTTATCCAAGACTTGCAGACTGCTTAGCAAGATCCAAAGAAGAGCTTGATGCATCCTCATCATTTGGTATATCCTTTTAAGCCTTATCAAAAAGACTGTGTATTTACACTTCAAAATTATCTTTACTAGGAAATAGTTGTATTCTTAACGAGTTTCCAAGATGGCAGCTTATCAGATACCATATTGTTTACTTGTTTTGTCCCGGAATTGTTATTGCTAATGCCGTTGATGGAAATTTCCTATTATAATTATTTGATGCAGATCGGAAAGACCAAAACGAGAAGCAGAGAGATTAAATCATTTTATGTTTCATACTGTACTATCTGTGGACGGTACTCACTGTTTGGGAAGCTATAAAGGATGTAGTGATGTGCCTTTGTAAATAGAACCAGGTGCACCAAGAAACAAGTGTATGTTTTATTTGATGTTCCAAAATTCAAAATTTCAATCCATGTTTTCCCGCAGCTTGAAATCCATCATTATAGTTGTATTTCCACTTATTATATATGTAACTTAGGTAGTCTTTCCCTTTGCAGGAACATGTACTGGAGAACATAGCTTTGATACTGAAAAATTAAGGTAATGACTTCCTGTCTATATATGTTTATATAATTTTCTCTGATTGATCAGAGTAGTAGTTATGTTAGTGGGGCACACACTGTATTAGCCATATTTTCCCAAGCATTAAAGTATTGACATTTGATAGGATTATGTGCATAGCGAATGAATAAAATAATCACAATAACGAAAATGACTATAGGCCATTCATGTGCCCTATCTTCTAACATGCATAAGATTTATAATACATCTTTTAAAATTGTAGTCGTTTAGTTGGATGAACAATAATATTTTTCGATAATTGAATTTGGCTAAGGGTGTCTTGCCAGGTATCCCCTAATCCCCTGGGATGTCCTTGCATTGGAAAACAAGTCAAATGCTACACAAAGCGAGGGTAATATATTACACCAAATGTTCACTCAAACCTATTCCCTAATCGGTTGATGTTAACAGTATGGATATACCAATTTGAGATATTTGCACCCAACTAAATGTCTTCGCTACTACTGTAAATGAAAGAATAGGTACACAAAATAAGGCACGGTGCATTTGGTAACCATGGGAGCCTGGATGAAATGAGAAGTGTGTATCATTATGTGCGCATTAATTCACATACATTGCACATTCCAAGTGGCCGTGGTAAGACCTTCATGAAGACAACTTAGGCTTGATGAAGACGACTTAGCACCTGATAGTTTATATTTTCGTTTTTGTGATGCAAAATCACTTTAGTGATAATTGATTCCAGAACTGATGTAGATCAATTGCTCCACAAAACATGTGTCCATGACATCACTCCTTTGGACAGCACGCAGGAAAATTTTTAAAGCATATTAATTCATGTAAAACCTCATGCACGGCACTTTTGTTTCTTCTTTTTTCTTTTTGTTGGTGCATCATAATAAGTTCAACTCCAACCTCTCAATATTGTTTTTCTTCTCACTTTTACTATCTTGAAGAAGAGTTCATCATCGAGGCATCGAGAACTAAGAAAGAATAAGGACTGTCCTGGATCCAAACAATATCATGAACACAGGAAAGTTAATTCCTTGTCATGCTTGTTTACAATTTGATTGTTCTTCTTTTCACCTGCTTATTCTCAGGATTGTTGGAGCTTGTGGTTTCTATGAGACTGTTAAATAAAATATATCTCTAGAAATTAAATGAAGCTTGCATTACTCAGCCTTATAGTGAAACAATTTTTACGTTATCCTTTTCCTTGCAAATGAGCTATAATTATACATACCATCACCTCAAAAGAGTATATGATAATTCATGCTTGTAGATTCTTATGGGTTTTCATGTGATGTGGAGATAAAGCCAATGTGATTGAATTTCTCACCTGCTCCATCCAAGATTCTTCCAATAATTTTTTACTCTTTTTCATCTGGATAAAGATATAAAGACAAACAGGTTTCCTTTGTGAGTGCACAAAAATACATCTTTGTTGATCGCATGAGATCGACACCCTATGAGAAGATTTCTGTTGATCCCAACACCCCATGCCCATATTACTTTATTAAGTGCATTAGATTTTTTAAATTAACTTACAATTTTAACTGAAATATTTCACACAACAATCTGTGAATTTTGATCAGCCCTTCATGGGTTGGCTGTAAAGTTAAAATTTGCACAGGTTGACCCCCAAACACGCAGACTATTAAATCCCAACATCCTTTGTTTGAGATCAAACTGAACCAGGGTGTCCTCAATTTGATGCCCTCCGATGACAATGGATGTCCTCGATTTCACTCCTCCATCAAATGGTGTCCTCATTTTTACTCCTCCATTTACAAATCCGAGGCACAATACTCCTTCCTTTGCCTCAACCATCGAATTTGCTCCCCAAATCCTCCATCGAATATTATCACTATGCAGCACAAAATCAATTGTAGGCACCGCAGGTCCAGTGTTTGTGCTACGGATGCCCGCAGCACTATAACACAGCTTAAAAGGAGCAACTGAGGCCACCCTCTCAATATTGCTCTTGTTCATTGCGGTGTCAAATGCAACAGTCACTGCTTTATAAATTGATGTCTCCAATAAAGTATAGGGAGCCGTAGTACTAATCTTTGTCCCACCAATGCCTAGCCTGTCGATCTTCAGCAGCTCCTTGTTCACCGGCACAACTCTCCCATTGACTTTGATGGAGGTCACTCTGATGAAGTGGTCGACTGATCTCTCTCCAAGCGTATAGGATTTTGCGGTGCTATAGTTGTTGGTAATAAGTGGAGTGGTGACCATAAACAGGGAGCCTTGCACACTGGGGATAAAGCTATAAGGAATCTCACCAAAGAAAATGACGCCATCAGATGACGTCGAGGGCGAGAGGCAAATCGCGAACTTTGGTCGCAGCCTGAATTCGACCGCCAGCTGAATCGGCAATGCGATTCGGTTCCGTGCCAAGCCGGCCATGCCACTGGCGCCTTGGGCAAGGCCTTTGAGTAGGTGACGTGGTGCACAGGAGAAAATGAAGTTTGAAGTATTGACAACAGGACCGGGATTGTAGCCGTCGGTTGATTGAAAGGCGAAGACATCTTGGGCGAGCTCGCCGAAGGTGCCGAACGTTGGGGACTCTGGCATGCCATTGCAGGCATTTTTGTTGCAGCCGGGGCGATGAACCATATTGCAGTCAGTGCAGCCCTCGACAGGCTGTTGCAAGTTGCATTCTGGAGTGTGGCAGTTTACAGGACGGTAGGAGGAGGATACGTAGTCTGAGTCGCAGTCGACCCAGAGGTATCGGCCGCCGAGGTCTACTACTAATTTGAGAGGGACAAGAGGGATACGGGTATTTATACGGGTTACATATTGGAGGGTAGCTTGGTCTTTTTGGACGGGGAGTAGGAGAGCATGGGGTTTTGCTAAAGAGAGGGAGAGGATTGAGAGGAGAAATGAGGAGAAGAAGAGGCAAAGGGATGAAGAAGTCATGGTGCTATTGAAATTTGCGTAATGAGCATGATGATCAGCTCTATGTATAGAAGATGTTTGGTGAAAGGCTAGTTGCAAGTTTTGATTAAGGATTAAAGAAGAATAGCTTAGATGGTGTAGGTTAGTTATAATTATCCGTTAAGGAAGGCTAGTTGCTTTTTTGAGTAACGAAGGCTAGTTGCTATCTCTGGACAAGATGAGTTATTATTTTAGAGAGAGAGCTTATAACTTTGACTATAGTGGGTATGGACTTTGACTTTTATGGGCACATGTACGTTGTCTCCTATTATGAGTCCGACCGGTAATCTAGGAAAGGGATATACAGATTGATGGACCGCAAGTGTGGGTAGAGCAGAAATTCTTTATAGACATAATTGAGGAATTTCGGAGTGAGGAAGCAAACAACATCTAAGAGCAATTCAACATGTCCCCGAATCAGCAATGGACTCTTATACGTCTTTGTTCATTATGGTAAAAATCATACACGAATCTTTTCACAATTGAGTAGTATTGAAGTGGTAATCTAATTTTAATAACGCTATCAAATTTCTGTCCAATTTCACGAATGGCTGTGTGCCACTCAGCTAGGATATTGGTTTGGTTGTTAACCATGCCTTCTATCATCACGATCGAGTCACTAGTGGGATTGTTATAGTAAAACACTCATCATTACATGGTTTGATGAGCGTAGTAGCTGCGCATCGCGAATTTTCTGTCGGGATAGTCCTGTAAAAGTGAGAAAAAATTTTTTAATACGTAACAACCAACCATAAGTTTAACAACCAACTCATAAGGCTAATAAAAACTCATAAATATCTACTGAGGTTAGCAACCAACTAATAACATTAACTACTAATTAATAACATTAACAACCAACTTATAAACTTAGCAATCAATTCATAATCATCTCATAAAGGTTGATAATTAACTCGTAACCTTAACAACTAACTCTATGTAACCAATGCATAATGTTAAAAACCAACTCATAATCTAACAACGAACTCATAAGGAAATTGAAATTGAAATGCTTACACATTTTCTGGAGAAGTTTGAGTGTTCTGAAAAGTTGAGGATTCCCCAGCAGAGGTAGCATATAAGTTTATATCTGTAAATCCATTACGACGACAATACTCGAACATCAACCTCAAGTCGTCGTCATTATCAATTGTAAAACTGAATTTCTTTTTCCTTTCGAATATGAATTTCAGTGAAAGAGATTGCAATTATAGTTTAAGCCTTTGAGACACTTGAAATTTCAAGCTTATGATTTCTGTAAACTCATTGATAACTACGAAAATACTCTCACCCTTTTGTGTTTGTAATCATGCAAATGAGGGATCCATCCGTCATTTTAAAGAAAAGTAGTTGAAAAATCATAGAGGGTTTATGGAGGAGAACTAAATACCCGGGAGAGAGTAATTGGGGTAAACAAAGAGGATTTACTTTGGATGGGTGGGGATGATGGTTAGAATTTGGAGGGAAATAGAGTTTTTCCCCTCCAAAACCACTTTCTAATCACCATTAATGCCTACAATACTTCTGCCTCCTTCTCCGATGACCGACTTGAGTGAGAGTAAATCGGTTACGTATTTTGGTCTTCTCATATTTGAAAGTACACATAAGGGGGCTAAAGGAATTTCAGAATTGCTTTTGGGGGTTTTAGGAGCGTTGAAAGAGTCTGGCGGGTACACTTGTTATTGTTTTGGGGGCTAGAAGCAAATTTCCCTTTTGTTTACTTTATTTTGAGTTTAACAAGAGAAGCTATATTGGGTATGGACTTTGACTTTTATGGGCACATGTACGTTGTCTCCTTTTATGAGTCCGACCGGTAATCTAGGAAAGGGATGGACAGATTTTATTTATTTTATTATGGGTTAACAAGAGAACTTCGCTAAGATCCTTTAGACAGTAGTATCACATCCCTGAGCGTGGTTAAGAGCAGCTTCAACCGGGCTGTATTTCTCTAAAATGCAGCCCGGTTGAGCTCCAACCGGACTCCAATTTTTGGAGTCCGGCTGCAAAAACACCCACTCGGCTGCATATTTGGAGTTTTTGCTCCAAATATGCTGCCCCCCTCCAAACCACTATTCCCCCTAAAAAATAACAATAATACCCTTCTAACTAACTAATTATTTTTAGATATTCAACTTAAAATCAAGATAAGTTTATTTCTACTAATTATTTTTAAATAAAAGTTTTACAGTTGAAAATGTTTTGTCGATACCTTCAAAATGAGACTAATATTAAATAATATTAATTGAAATATAAAATTTCAAGAACCAAGTAATTAAAAATAAAAAAGTCATTATTTCATTAGTAAAAAAAGTTACATCGCTTCATTTCCATGTCTTTCCCACAAATGTTCAATCAATGCATTTCGAAGTGCAAAATAAGCTTCTTTGTTTTTCAACCTCTTATGTCGAGCAAGAAACCGTTGGAATCGTTCAGTTTCCGTTATCTCCATATTTTCAGCATTCAGAATTGATTGTAGAGTTGAAATGACAACATCTTCTTGCTCATCGCGTTCATCTTCGACAATCATATTGTGCATTATAATACAAGCAGTCATGATATCATGCAGAGTTCGTTTATCCCAAAAACGGGCTGGCCCCTTGATGATAGCAAATCGTGATTGGAGAACACCGAATGCCCGCTCAACATCTTTTCGACATGCTTCTTGCATCATTGCAAAATATTGTTTCTTTTTATCATCGGAATTAGAAATGGTTTGAACAAGTGTTGGCCATTTCGGATATATGCCATCGGCCAAATAATAACCGACATCATAATTTTTTCCTTGAATTGTGTAATGAGCAGGAGGAGCAATACCTTGTGATAGATTGTCGAACAAATTAGACGACTGCAATACATTAATATCGTTATTGGATCCTGGTAAGCCAAAGTATGCATGCCATATTCTTTAAACATACAATTGCAGTTGACTCACCGATCCTAACATATTTGTCAGTACTATCTGCTGATGTTCCATACGCCAACATGCGAAATGCCGATGTAACTTTTTGTAAAGTTGATAGCTCAAGTTTGCTGACACCATCCATCTTCTGTACGAAGAAGTTGTCATGCTCACGTACTGCCTCAACTATACGAAGGAATAAACTCCTGTGCATCCGGAACCTTCTACGGAAGAGGTTTGCACCATATGTAGGGTTATCAGAAAAATAGTCATGGTAAAGTTGAGAATTACCTTCTTCCCTCCCGCGATTGATCACCAAATGACCAGGAACTGAGCCAATACGCTTTGGCCGCTCTGCCTCTTGAGAGAGATAAGTCATTATTTTACTATTAGAGGCATGTACGCGAGCTAAGAGTTCATCTTCCTTCTCCCATTGTGTCATATCTTCCTCCCAATCTTTAATGTACTGAGACCATATTTCGTCGTCAGAAGAAGAAGAAGAAGAAGAAGAAGAAGAAGGTAGATGTGACGGTCCGGCTCCATAGTTCATTGATGAAGAAGTTATTTATAGAAATAATCATATAAGTTGTGAGTTATTTAGGGATGGATGTAATGTCATTATATAATATGACTCCCCGCATTGGATTCTTTTCAGCATTGGCTTCTCACCCCCCACATTGGATTCCTTTCGTGTGGAGACTCCCCACATTGGATTCTTTTCAACATTGGCTTCTCACCCCCCCATTGGATTCCTTTCCTTTCGTGTTGGAGACTCCCCACATTGCATTCTTTTCAGCATTGGCTTCTCACCCCCACATTGGATTCCGTTCGTGTTGGAGACTCCCCACATTGGATTCTTTTCAGCATTGGCTTCTCACCCCCACATTGAATTCCTTTTGTGTTGGAAACTCCCCACATTGGATTCTCCTAGTGTTGGAGACTCCCCGCATTGGATTTCTTTCTTGTTGGAGACTCCATACATTGGATTCCTGGTGTTGGAGACAACCCACATTTGATTCCTTTCGTGTTGGAGACTGCCCACATTGGATTCTTTTCAGCATTGGCTTCTCACCCCACCACATTGGATTCCGTTCGTGTTGGAGACTCCCCACATTGGATTCTTTTCAGCATTGGCTTCTCACCCCCACATTGGATTCCTTTCGTGTTGGAGACTCCCCACATTGGATTCTTTTCAGCATTGGCTTCTCACCCCCGCATTGGATTCCTTTTGTGTTGGAGACTCCCCACATTGGATTCTTTTCAGCATTGGCTTCTCACCCCCGCATTAGATTCCTTTTGTGTTGGAGACTCCCCACATTGGATTCTCCTGGTGTTGGAGACTCCCCACATCTGATCCCTATATAATACTTGCACAATTGTCATATCTCCACCACAACTCTTCTTATTCTATATTCATAACTCTTTACATTCCTCCTTAGATTATGGCATCTAGTCGGGGAAAATCTTTTTTACAAGAAGAAGACCAAGTTTTATGCGCCACGTGGCTCGAAATTTCTCAAGATCCAGTCATGGGTTCTAATCAAAATAAGGACAAGCTGTGGGAACGAATTTCTGTTTTATTTCATGAAAGGATTTCCAATATTTGTAATGCTCAAAGGACTCCGAAGTCTCTTTCATGCCGAATGCAATTAATTATGAAGGTCATCAGTAAATTTCGAGGATGTATTCGACAAGTCGAGCGCTTAAATCCAAGCGGTGCTTCTGAGCTTGACATTGTAAGTATTTTGAATAACATAAATCTTGATTATCATCTACTATCATGTTATTAATAAATGTTTCTTCCTCTCTTGTGGTAGATTAAACGTGCTAGGATAATATTTGCAGAAGATCCAGAAGAGAGAAAGGGGTTTCTATTTGATCATGTTTGGTCAATTTTAAAAGATGCAGAGAAATGGGCAAATATAAGTGTCAGATCGCCTGCAACTTCCAAAACTTCAAAGTCCCGCTCATCTCAGGGATCAGATTCAAGTTCTCCTGTCGTCGACTTAAATGATGATAATGAGGAATATACTCATGATGACGAAGATATGATAACAAGTCGACCGACAGGAAGGAAGAAAGAGAAGATGAGGAGGCGACAGACAACTGAATCTAACCTCGACTTGGAAACTCTCAATAAAAGCAATCAAGAAATTGTCGATATTTTAAAAAAAAAGTCACGGAGAACGAGAAAATGATAGAATACCAATGCACCAGATTATGATGTTAATGGCCGAAAACGAAAAGAAAAAAATTAGATATTCAAAGGGAACGCCAGGAAAGTAAGATTATGTTGATTAATCTTGATACTATTACTGATCCTTCGGAACGCGAGTATTTTCGAATTAAAAAATAAGAGATTTTAAATAGAAACACAACCGAAGGTTCTTCATCTGATATTCCTAATCCTGAATATAGTTATGCAGGAAGTCAATACGGAATACCTGACTACAGAAGCGGTGGATATGGAGGAAATGGCCTGCCCGATTTTTAGTTTTTTTCATGTACTTTATTTTCATGTATTTTATTTTTCTTTGTAATGTCGCGCCCGATTTTTAGTTTTTTTCATGTACTTTATTTTCATGTACTTTATTTTTCTATGTAATGCCGCTGAATGTAATATATAATATTTTTTATATTTTCAAATCTATTTAAAGTATTATAAAAGAAATCAATTAAAAATGCAAATAGAGTTTCATATAGAGGGGGTGGTTGGAGTGCCCCCCCTCTAAAAAAACATATGCCTAAGAATATGCTTTGGGGAGGCTGCATTTTGCAGCCTCCCCATTGGAGTTGCTCTAAGAGGCATCGCCTAACGCACGATCTCGAATATTTCGAGACGCTAAATTCCTGTTGTTTTTTTTTTTACTTTTAAAAATTTTCAAGCTATTTTCTGAATATTAGTCCATTAAGTCTTTTATATGGTGAAATTAATCCCTCGAATCATTGAAATTGCCATTAGGATATTAGCACCTTGTCTGTATAATTTTTTTATTTAAATACTAACAAACTTGTGTTTGAGATGACTTGTGTAGGTACGCACCATATATAAATGATAACAAGTTCAAACTAAGTTAAAATCAGCTCAAAACGATGACTCTGCAAGCAGAACATATCAATGAGCATTATGCCCATCGATGAGAAAACAGTCATTGATGAGCGATGTTTCTCATTGATGAACCTGCTGCTCAGTCATCGACTTATTAACCTATCATCAACAACAGAAACTATACACCCATTGATGAGTGTATTGCCTATCGATGAGCAAAGGAAATTGTCATTGATTTGAAGCACCTCCCATCGATCCAAAAATTATAGAAGCATCTTAGCCATCGATGAGCACATTGCCCATCAATGAGTATATTGCCCATCAATGAGCAAGTTGCTCATCGATTAGCCTGAATTTATTTAGCAACTTCTGAGATCTAATCTCATCCATTCGTTGCAATTTCTGTACCCTCTCTTCTATCATGTTTGAGATAAATGAGATTGACCTAACTTCAGAGAGAGAGAGAGAGAGAGAGAGAGAGAGAGAGAGAGAGAGAGAGAGAGAGAGCTGATCGTGGTGGTGAGTACTACGGTAGATATGATGGTTCAGGTGAACAACGTCCAGGACCATTTGCTAGATACCTAGAGGAATGCGGTATCGTCCCACAGTACACTATGCCGGGTTCACCTAGCATGAATGGTGTAGCTGAAAGACGAAACAGGACTCTTAAGGATATGGTAAGAAGTATGATTGCTCATTCTTCTTTACCAGAGTCACTCTGGGGAGAAGCACTTAAGACAGCAGCTTACATTCTGAATAGAGTACCAAGTAAAGCAGTTGCTAAAACACCTTATGAGCTTTGGACTGGTCGAAAGCCCAGTTTAAAGCATTTACATATTTGGGGATGTCCAGCTGAGGCAAGGCCTTATAGGCCAAATGAAAAGAAATTGGACTCCAAAACAGTTAGCAGCTACTTTATTGGGTACCCTGATCGCTCTAGGGGCTATAAGTTTTATGATCCCACTATAAGGAATATTTTTGAGACGGGAACAGCAACATTCTTTGAGGATGTTGAGTTTGGGGGGAGAAATAAGGTTAGAGACATTAGTTTTGAGGAGGAATTGGCTTCAGATCCAATCCATACAGTTACTTTTGACAATATTCAGGTTCCTATACCTGTTGTTGCTCAAGAAGTAAATCCGGAACCTCAAGATGATAATGTTGAACAACTCCCTGTTCCAGAAGAACAAACTCAACAACCTCAAGAACCAGTGCCATTAAGGAGATCCACGAGAGAAAGGAGAAATGCTATTCCGGATGATTATATTGTATTTCTCCAAGAACATGAGGAAAGTAGTGGAATGTTAGAAGATGATCCAATCAACTTCTCTCAGGCCATGAAAAGTTCTAACTCTCAACAGTGGATTGATGCCATGAATGAAGAGTATAAGTCTATGCAAGACAATAAGGTTTGGGAACTTGTCCCATTGCCAGAAGGTGCAAAACCAATTGGTTGTAAATGGATTTTTAAAACCAAGCGGGATGCAAATGGTAATGTGGAGAGGTATAAGGCACGTCTTGTGGCTAAAGGCTATACTCAAAAGGAAGGCATTGATTATACAGAGACTTTCTCTCCGGTTTCATCGAAAGACTCTTTCAGAATAATCATGGCACTTGTTGCTCATTATGATCTTGAGTTACATCAGATGGATGTTAAGACTGCATTTCTCAATGGAGACATTGATGAGATGATTTATATGGTGCAACCAGAAAACTTTGTGTCAGGAGACCCAAAGAATATGGTTTGCAAATTAAGGAAATCCATCTATGGACTCAAGCAAGCTCCTCGTCAATGGTATCATAAGTTTCAACAAATAGTTATCTCGTTCGGTTTTGAGATGAACATTGTTGATGACTGTGTATATCACAAGTTCAGTGGGAGTAAGTATATTTTTCTGGTTCTGTATGTGGATGGCATCTTGCTTGCCACTAATGATATAGGCATGTTGCACGAAACCAAGAGATTTCTATCAAAGAATTTTGAAATGAAAGATCTTGGGGACGCCTCTCTTCTATCATGTTTGAGATAAATGAGATTGACCTAACTTCAGAGAGAGAGAGAGAGAGAGAGAGAGAGAGAGAGAGAGAGAGAGAGAGAGAGAGTCCCTAGAGAGAGAGAGAGAGAGAGATTGAAGTTTCTGTTAGATCTACATCATAAAACTTGAGATCTAAAACCATATAGCCATGATTAATTCAAAGAGATTAACAAGGATCTAAAAGAGCGGAAGCTTATACCTGAATCCATTGCTTGATCTTGATTTTGGGTTTTGGATCTTCTAACCTTAGGGTTCTCTCTAGCCGAATTTCTCTCTAGATGGGGGTGAAGAGAATTAGAGAATGTAACCCTAGGTTAGGGACCATAACCCCTTATTTATAGATGTTGTACTTTTGTAATTTAGCCCCTCAATAAATTACAATTACAACCTGGTATCTGCACATATAACCCCATGACTTATTTAAATACCAAATTAACCCAACTTAATTGATCACTTTAGTGGGTT